AAAGGCGTTGCCTCCCAATCTGTTGGGTTGAGTTGACTGCATAGTTCATTGATGGAATAACTTCTCGAGTTTCCCACTGTGTTAGGTGCATTGAGGATTACAAGCTCGGTGTGGACGGTCGCTCTTGCCAGCTCATCGCGGACACCTGCCCAGGGGGAGGTGACTGTGGGGAAAGCAGGGAGCTTCCCATGAACCAGACCCTCTTTGGCGAGATGTTCTTTGGTTACAACAACCATTCCAAGGACGTGGCTGCCGGACAAGTGCTGAAGGGAACGTTCAGGTGAGCCTTCTGTCCATAGAACCAGTGGGTTATTCAGGGCTGCTGCTGGGTCTTCTTCTCTGTAGAGCTTTAGTCAGCAGAAAGTTTTATATCTTGGATCAAGGTCAATGGGATCTGAAAAGGACAGGTTATGCTCTTTCCCATGGCCTTCTCCAGGTCCACCTTCCTCCATCCAGAGTCCGAGAACCATGCTTTCTCTGGGTGAAGAAGAGTAAAGCATTAGACACATTTTTATCCTCCCTGGGCAGGGACTGGAAGATTTTCCATGGAAGCCACCACAAAATGCTCAGGTTCTATTTTCCCTCTGAGTGGAAGAATCAGTGTGTGAGACAACCTAGAACAGCAGTCCTCGAGTGTGGTCCAGGGGTCCCAGAGGGTCCCTAAGATCCTTTCAGAGGACAGCCAAGGCTCTTCCTTTCCCAACTTCAGACAGGCTGGAGTTTCTTCATGTACTTCAACCCAAACACTATAGTGCAATAAGCTGAAAGCAGAGGCGAGAATTCACCTGTCTTCTATTAAGTCAGACATTTAAAAAACTTGCAAAAATAAAGTAAAATAGTGCTACTCCTCTCATCATTTTTCATATCATATGTTAATGTATAATGGGTTTATTATTGTCATTTTAAAATAAATGAATACGTATTTTTTTAATTCTTTAATTTCTAACAGGGTAAATGTTGATAGATATAATCCACATAAACAAAAGCTACTAGGGGCGGGCCTTTGATCGTTTTTCAGGGGTCTTGAGAACAAAATGTTTCAAACCGTTGATTTAGAATATTTCTAGGAGAGTCTCCATTTGATCCCTGTCCCTGATGGGTCTTAGGCTATTTGAATACATCTTCGTCAGATCTCATGCTTTTCAGGAGATGATGATGACGGTGATAAGATGTTTAGTATGGACCATCAGTTGATAGCAACCTGAGCCTCGACTCTTATGAGCAAACCGATAGGAAATTTCCAAGCCAGCTCTTGGGGTCAGTTGCTTTTTCTGTTACAGACAGTAGACTTTACTAATATTTCCCCTTTTAGCCTGTGACTTTGTTTGCTAGTGACAAGTAGTGAGGTGTCATAACCAACCTTGTTGCTGGGGTCTTCTCTATAGTCTAGAAACGAGATTGGATACGCCCAGATCTTATGCAAGGCGGGGAATCAGGGAGTAGGGACGGGGATGGGAGGGCCGGAAGAATAGCCTCTATTTTTTGAGCAAACCGTTAATCTAGTTTATTTCCCATCTCCCCCTGCTCTCATTCTACTTCTCACACTCATGTCTTACTCCAGGCACATACATCAAATGGGGTTCAGGGCGAGGGGAGCTTTTTGATCCAGAAAGAATTTTTTCATTGTGGATCGAGATATAGATGGTCCACCAAGGACTGGGGTTTGCCTGAACGCTCAGAAGTGAACACCTGCTTCTCTTTCCAGGCAAAACAACTTTGCCCGAGGTTTAGACCAACAACTGCCAGATGGCCTTGCGGTGGCCACTGTCCCCCTGGAGAATCAGTGCTTGGAGGAAACCTCGGAGCCCACCCCTGACCCTGACTTCCTGACGGGTGAGTGTGCCTCCTGCCCTCATGTAACCTGCGAAAACCCGGCAGCTCCCTAGGGTTTCATAAAACCAAGACTCTTGACCTCACTTAGTTTGGTTTCGAAGCCAGTGATTTCCGTAAGACACAATAAAAGCTCAGTCCTCAAAGTGGACACTTGGCAGGGTTATTTGTCAGTAAAATTGCTAATATTGTTATACAATCTTCTGCAAAATGCTCATAATAATGCCTTTCCCTGCGAGTCTCATCGAGATGCTTTGGACACAAGTGGGATAATAGTTAAGTACGTGTTCGGAGTTCTCAGCAGATTTGGGGATGTCACCAGATCACAGTAGAGGCCGTGCAAAGGTGGATAGCTACTGTGGCCTAAACGTCTGTCATTGGCGAGTACTTATGGAGCAGTGTGAGGGGCCAGAAAATGATAGAGGTTTGTTGTCAAATTAACCTGGGTTTGAATCCCGCCCTGCTACTTTCCAGCTGTGTGACTTTAGATAATAGAGTCCCTTGGGGGCTCACGGCCCTGTCATAAAACAGAGATAACAACACCGCCCTCCCCGCGCCCATGCCGTTTTGAGCCCAGTGACATTCTTCCCCTGGGCCCACTATGGAACTGAGGTTTGGGTTGATGGGAAGAGTCAGGGGCCTCAGGAGGAGCTTCTCCTTTCTGTGCCTCTAAGACGCCTAATTAGCACCTCCTGGACAGGAGGACATACTTCAAAGGGTTTCGTGGACCCAGAAGAGGCACCAGCTGGGAACCTAGCATCACATGCTGGAAGGCTAGATTTGAGCTCAAGTCTATTGCTGGCTTTGTACATTTCTCCATTGCTTCTCTTCCTTCCTTATTCTATGTCTTCCTTATTCTATACCTTTCTACCCTTGCTCCTCCTTTTTCTGAAGAATGGATTGTGCGGAGGGTAAGCCTCTTCCAGATACCAAGTTATGTTCAAAACTTCAGTTTAGACCTGGGTGGAATGAGAAATAGGTCTGTCTAAAGTAGTGTAGCATAGTGATGGATAGCACAGGTTCTGGAGCCTGACAGTTGGGCTTGACTCTTCATTGGCTGTGTGGTCTTAGACAAGTTGCTTACCTTCTCTGTGCCTCAGTTGTTTTACTTATATAAAAATGGATATTATAATACTATCTCCTTAATAGGACTGATATGAGGAAAAAAATAAATGAATATTTGTAAAGTGTATAGAACAGTTCCTGGCACATAGTAAGATATATACTTGTTAAATAAATAAATATACCAAGAAAGAAAGAAAATATGAACATTCAAACTCCCAAGTAGTGTGAAAACACAATTAGATATATTTGGACCAGAAATAAATCTCATCAAAATTAGTTCCCCTTTAAACGACTAGATGCACATACACAGAGACACACATTAAACTGAAAAAATTAAAATGCAGCCTCAGGGAATATCCCTAAAGACCACATCTCTAGTGTTAGGGAATCTAGTTGTCTTGTTTCTGCATCATTTGCTGAGAGACACTTCCCATGAATGTGAAAAATATCTTGTCAAGGAGGTGTGAGATGGCACACAGACAGGACAAGGTCCACACCAGTGACACATCACCTGGCTTCTGTTTAAAGATCCACCAAGACCTCACACGTTGTAACTTATTGTGGAGATGAGGAGATTGTTACCTCGGTCACCAGGCAGGGAGGACACATGGAGTCCTGGATGCTAGCGGAAGCTTTTGGGGGAGGAGTGGGTGGATAAATCCCACAAAGCATCAGAAGGACATGTGTTTGAATCTATACATTCAGAAATCAGAAAAGATGCAAACTCAGTTCTCAGCCACAGCAGCGACTTCCTTCTCCCCCATGTCCTCGGACCTCGCCGAATTTGGCATATTGGAGGCAACCGAGTGGAAAGATGTCCATAAGGATCGTTTTCGTTTATCCTGGCCTTGAGACAGTGAAGGCTAATGACCCTAAAAGTCTCGGGGGAGCTCTTCTTGACCAGCTGCTTTTCTAGCCAGCCTTTCTCCTATTTTGATTAAGAAGTGGTACCAGTTAGGCCAAGGACTCCCCTTTGATGGATAAAGGAATCCATCTTGTTTGTTTAAAGCCCAGAATAACTAGAAGAAGCAATTAAAGAGATGGTGGACCAACTTTCTTCCATATTTGCTTTGTAGTTCTGGCAACAATTTGCTTGTACCTTTCCTGAGAGTCATACAAACAATATCATTTCCTGTCGCACAGTTGTGCTATTATAGGTCATAGTCCCCATAAACCTACAAGCTTAGAAGATTTTAGAGCTAAAGTGATCTTCAGAATCCTCTATTATCAACATTTCCAAGCATTTAAAAAAAAAAGAACAAAAACAGTGGTTCACTCATAAATAAGTTCTGTCTTCCATAAATATATTTGGAAAGACTGTAGTATCTACCTCGGCAATTTGCAACATCTTCGCATAGAACAGCTTCCAAAAACCCTGCAATAAAGAAATCCCTTTTACTTATTTATACCCAGCCATCCCTAAATTTACGTCACTAGAGAATCCTTTTATACATAACAGCTATTTCCATCTCTCAGAATTACTGGTTTGAGGAACATACTAGAACATACTAGAAAAAACTGATTTATGTGTTTTATCTTGCCAATTGCTTCCCTCTTTATCAAAATAAGATAAGAGCTCTGAGCTTCACCAGCCTTTTCAGTATTATAAGTCACGTGGAAATAAATGAAGACCAACCAAATGAAGAAAGGTGAGAACTGTGGATTCACAGCTGCCTGTGTAGCAAGGGAGATGACCACCATCGCTTGCATCTTGGCAGAGACTGACAGGCAGGCAGAGGAGAGAGAAACTTTAGAGTGGAGAACAGGAAAGGCTTCAGGTAATGCCCTGATGGCAACTGTTGGCAGTACGTGGGCCAGCTAACTAGGAGAGAGGCATTCTACATAAGTGTTTATGTGTACACATTTGACTTTCTCTGATTGGACTTAGGTTGGCAGCAAGAACAGAAATCGG